AATGGGGAAAATTAAGTGAAATTCACCATTGTTACTTAATACCTGCTCAGAAGTTTTAAAAGGGAAGAAGTTTTAAACTGTTGGCTAAAATGAGGTCTGTTAATTATCTTTTCATATGCGCTGTCTTTTGTGTCGCTGTCTCCATCACGTGGCTGACTGACAGTTGACCTAATTTCATTTCTAAAGTCTTTTTTTTTTTTTTTTTTTACTGGCAGTAAAAAACTTTCCTTCTGTAAATTCCTATTCCAGTGCCTCATTGTGGTCTGGTGGTAGCTCTGAATTCTTGAAGGCTACGCCAGCAGAGACTCCTGCTTTGGCAGATCCTTGAAACTTGAAAAGACTTCACATATAGAACCAGCAAACAACTGTTGTTTGTAGACCAGTAGGTTGGCAATATAGCATTGTGTTACTACTGCTTTTTAAAGTTTTATTCCTAATACTTGATAAAACAAGTCACTAATTGTCATGATATACAGTATAGCCATGAATAAGATAAACTTTTGCCATTTCTTAATTCTGAAACACATTTTCCAGCATAATTTATGCTATTCTTCCATATTCCCATCTTTGCATCAAAGTCTTCAAGTATCATTGTGTCTTTTAACTTGAGTGATCTTGTCATAGCACCGTGCCTGGCACATATTAAGTACTTAATAAATGCTTTTTGACTTGAATGTTTGTAGAATTTCTCTTCCTGTTTATCCTCTGCCACAGACATCTGTACAAATGCTACTTCACTTATTGCCATAGTAGTTCTTTAATTATGTTCATCTTAAGTACCTTAAGACAAGATGATCAAGTATTCCATAAAATTATGTTTGTTGTTGCCTTTGAAATTGCTCTTCCTGCAACTTCTTGTGTTGTTTGGTTTCATTTATAGCACAGGTCAATATCCATATGACTCCAGTAACTTGTCAAATAATTGATCAAGGATTAAGCTTTACCATGAATGAAATTAGTGCTTATATGTGGTATAAGTACCGTTTTTCTTTGTATCCTTTACTCTTTCTTGTCACTTTGTCACTATCCTTACAGTAGTAGAAAGAAATACAACCAAGAGTCTTTTAGTACTTTTCTTTATTTTATCAATTTCAGTGATTAAACATTTCATCATTATTTACCAACCTGCTGGTGGCAGGACATTATATACTTAGCTGTGCTAGTCCTAGATAAAATAGACACATTCTGGTGCTAAGATCTTACTTTAGGCCTTTGTATTTGGTAGAACCAAATATGCTCATACTTGTATTCTGCAGACTTCCCTTTTTACCTCCTCCTGCCACTGTATTTGGAGGACTATTATGCAAGCTTTTGTGTCCTGAAGTTACACATTTTTTAAAAAAATTTATTCGTTTTGAAATTTAATACAAAAAATCATGAAAAAAGAACATTTCCATGTACACAGCACACATAAGAGAATTCAATATAAAGCTATGAATTTCCATTTCACAGTTTACTTTTTTGAGAAACTATGCTATAAATACCGTAAATCACTTTCAAAGTTGCCCTGCTTTTCTGTGCTTCCTTCTAAGTTTTCTTTTGTTGTCTGCTTTGTGTTTTTTTTCTCCTCCCTCTCCAGCCCACACTAGAGAAGGCTACCATTAGACACAGATATATATGTGTATATGTGTACATATGTGTGAATGTGTGTAATACCATACTAATACATACTAATGTTTAACAGTTCTTTCTCTCAATGTGATAGCATCTTTCTTCATAGGTCCTTTGTAGTTGATTTGAGTATTTATAATACTCAAAATGACTTAGTCATTCAAAGTTGTTCCTAGAACAATATTGCAGTTACAGTGTACAATGTGTCTTAGTTAATTTTCATTATTTCATGCAAGTCTTTCCATGTTTTTCTAAAATCAACCAGCTCATCATTTCTTATAGCTCATTAGTATTCTATCACAATCACATACCACAACTTGTTTACCCATTCCCCAATTGACAGGCATCCTCAATTTCCAGTTCTTTGCTACCACAAAGAGAGCTGTTATAAATATTTTAGAACATATAAGTTCTTTTCCTTTTTCCCTGATCCCCTTGGGAAACAGACCTAATAGTGGTGTTGCTGGGTCAAACACAGTTTTGTAACTCTTTAGGTATAATTTCAGATCGCTTTCCAAAATGGTTGGTTCATTTTGTAGTTCCACCAACAGTAAAGTAGTGTCCCAATTTTTCTACATCCCCTCCAACATTTGTTGCTTTCCCCTTTTATCATTTTAGCTGATATGATAGCCATAAAATGATATCTCAAAGTTGTTTTAATTTGCATTTCTCTAATCAATAGTAATTGAGAATTTTTTTCATATGACTATAGATAGCTTTGATTTCTTTGTCTAAAAACTGCTTGTTCATATCCTTTGACCATTTATCAATTGGGAAATGACTCATATTCTTATAGATTTGACAAAGTTCCTATATATTTGAGATGTGATACCTGTATCTAAGAAACTGTCTATAAAATTTTTCTCCCAAATTTCCTTCTAATTGTGGCTACATTGGTTTTAGTTGTACAAAACCTTTTTAATTTAATGTAATCAAGTTACCCATTTTACATCTCATAGTGTTCTCTAACTCTGGTTTATTCATAATTTGTTCTCCTATCCATAAGTCCAATAGGTAATATGTTCCATGTTCTTCTAATATTCTTACACTATTTCCCTTTACATCTAAGTCATGTATCCATTTTGACCTTAAATTGGTTAAGTGGTGTAAGATACTGATCTATACCCAGTTTCTGCCAGTCTGCTTTTCACCTTTCCCAACCATTTTTTTTTTAACCAAATAATGAATTCTTGTCCCAAAAGCTTAAATCTTTATATTTGTTAAACATAAGGTTACTATGAGCATTTGCCTTACCAAATTAGTTTGAAGTCTGGAACTGCTAAACCTTCTTCCTTTCCATTTTTTTTCATTAATTCCTTTGATATTCTTGACTTTTTGTTCTTCCAAATGAATTTTGTTATTATTTTTTCTAGCTCAGTAAAATAACTTTTTGGTAATTTAATTGGGATGGCATTGAATAAATAAAGTAAAATTGTCATTTTTATTATATTGACTATAACTCCCCATGAACAGTTAATATTTCTCTTAACTATTTAAATTAATTAAGTTGATATTGTTTGTATAAAACATGTTTTATACTTATGTTCATGTAGCTTCTGAGTTTGTTTTGGTAGGTACACTCCCGGCCATTTTATACTGTCTACAGTTATTTGAAATGGGGTATCTCTTACTAGCTCTTCTTGCAGAGTTTTGTTGGTGATATATGGAATGCTGATTATTTTCATGGGTTTATTTTATATCCTGCTGCTTTGCTAAAATTATTGTTTTTACTAACTTTTTAGCATTTCCTAAGTATATCATCATATTGTCAGCAAAAAGAGATAGTTTTATTCTCATTGTCCATTATGATTTCTTCAATTTCTTTTTCTTCTCTTACTGCTATTGCTAGCATTTATGATATAATATTGAATAATATTGGTGACAATGGGCATTCTTGTTTCACTCTTGATCTTATTAAGAAGACATCTGAAGCTTATCCCCATTATAAATAATTCTTGATGGTGATTTTTGATGATCCTTCTTATCATTTTAAGGAAAAATCCCTTTATAACTATGCTTTCAAGTGTTTTTAATAGGAATGAGTGTTGTATTTTATCAGAAGCTTTTTCTGCATCTATTGTTATAATTACATGATTTTTGTTACCTTTGTTGTTGATTTTATCAATTATGTTAATAGTTTTCTTTGCGTTAAATCATCCCTGCATTCCAGGCATAGATCCTACTTGGTCACAATGTGTAATCATTGTAATATATTGTCATAGTCTCCTAGCTTGTATTTTATCTAGGATTTTTGAAGCCAAATTCATTCATGAAATTGGCTTATAATTTGCTCTTCCTGATTTAGATATCAATATCATATTTGTTTCATAAAAGGAATTTGATAGGACTCCTTCTTTGCCTATTATTCCAATAATTTATTTAATATTAGAACTGGTTCATTTTTAAACGTTTGGTGGAATTCACTTATAAATTCCTCTGCTCCTGTTGCTTTTTTCTAGGAAGCTTATTTATCAGTTTCAATTTATTCAATTTCTTTTTCTAAAATAGGATTATTTAGATGTTCTATTTCCTCTTTCTGTTAATATAGGCAGTTTATATTTTTGTAAGTATTCTTCTGTTTCGCTCAGATTTAATTTATTGGTATATAAGTGAACAAAATAACTCCTTATGATTGCTTTGATTTTTATCTTCATTAGTGGTATTATTCATCCTTTTCATTTTTAATACTAATGATTTGGTTTTCTTCTCTTTTTTTAATCCTATTAATCAATGATTTATCTGTTTTGTTGGTTTTTTTCATAAAACCAAATCCTAATTTATTAATTCAGTGGTTTTCTTTCACTCGATTTTATTAATTTCACCTTTAATTTTTTAAGATTTCTAATTTGGTATTTGATTGATAATTTTTAATTTGTTCTTTTTCTAGTCTTTTAATTGCATACCCAATTCAATGGTCTGCTCTTTCTCTATTTTATTGATATAATCATTTAGAGATGTAAATTTTCCTGATGTTATAAATTTCAATCCATAAAATGACAGATAGCACAGGTTATACTTTCACAGTCCTTGAGCACATTAATATACTAAACTGGTAGTAAGTATTCATTAAAATTTATCCATTAATTTTAATCTTCATCTCTGCACATGGTAGTTTTTCTTTAATATGCTTTGGTTGTAGGAATCCTCTTTTATTTAAAGATATCTAAGCAAATAAAAAACATAACCCCCCAGTTATTTTGTGACAGAACAGTATCTCTTGAGATTACTTGTATATGCTTTATCACTATGGAGAAATAAACAGAGTGATAAGATAGAAATATTTACCTTTTAGAACACTTTAAGGTAACTTTTACAACATTTGCCTTTTCATCTTTTTTGCCACATTCTATTTTTTTCCACTTCTAATACTAAATAATTTATTATTACAGATAAATTTGACCAGTTTTGGGCCATTAATCGGAAACTCATGGAATATCCTGCAGAAGATAATGGATTTCGATACATACCTTTTAGAATATATCAGGTAGGAAATTATTTTTAACAAATAGCCATTTATGATCTTTGCATCTAGTACATTTTTGTGCGTACCATAACATTGGTAATGAAGTAATATTGAGGTATTATTAATGTTCTCTGGTTGTATGGCTTGTGGCTACAACTAAGGTAGAGAAAATGCTGATATAATTGACCAAAGTTTCTGATTACCTAATGGGCAAATCATTGGTGGTTTAGAGTATGTGAAACAGCAGTTGGTCCTTATGCCTTCCTTTATGGCAGGTTTTCATAGTACCTCAAAGCATTAAGAAACTCAGAAACTCATCTACTCAGTATCAGGCATTTATTCAATTCCTGGGTTGTTTTTTGTTTTTGTTTTTTACTGCTACTGTAAAAAGTGAAACTATGAATATTTTGGCATAAATGAGGTCTTATTAATATTAAATTAGTTTAATGGATCTATAATCACATCAGAGTATGAATCAATCACATGGGTGATTCTTTCTTTGTTGGGGTAGGGTGAGGAATCTTTTTAACAGGGCTAATTGCAACCCATTCATTCCTACTTTCCCATCTTATGTGTCTCTTGTCCATGTTTTCCCATAAGTTTACCAGTGGGAATTCACTCATCTCACCAAGGACCTTGTTCATTTTCTTTTAACATCACAAGGGTGCCAGTGGAGCACAACAGCCATCCAGTGGTTTGTGGTATGTTATAGCCTGACCACATCCATCGTCAGTCTATTGCCCTTTGGATGATTTTCAATTTCATTTCTTCAGAATCTGTAGTGCTGTATACTGCATTGGATAGAGTATCAGGCCTGGAGTCAGGAAGATTACTCTTCTTGAGTTCAAATCCAGCTTCAGACACTTACTAGTTCTGTGATCCTGGGCAGGTTACTTAACTCTGTTTGCCTTAGTTTCCTCATCTGTAAAATGAGCTGGAGAAGGAAATAGCAAGCCAGTGCAGTATCTTTGCCAAGAAAATCCCAAATTGGGCCACAAAGAGTCAGATACTACTGAGAAATGACTGAACATCAACAATGTACAACACACACAAAGAACATTGGTATTAAATAGATGGACCTTTGTTTCCAAGAGAAGCTTGGGGTCCTGAATAGAACTTTATAATTCCCAAAGGTGATTAATAACACAATTTATCCCAAAGGTGATCAGTAGATCAATTTAATAGTCCATTCTATAGTTTTGCTAGGAATTGAAGTCTGTATCACTCATTTATAGATTCCAGGTGCCATTTTCCTTTATTTTTTAAAATGAGCATATTTGCCCTTCTCTAATTTTTTGTATCTTTCTTATGCTTTCTCAGCTTTCAAAAATCACTGATAGTGCTACCGCAAGCACCAGTTCTTTCAGTATCCTAGAATATAGTTCATCTAGGCAAGATGAACTGAATTGGTCAAGGACAGTCCCTAGCTGCTCTTTTTCTGTCAGTTCACTTTTCTTGGACATCAACTCTCCATTAGGCATTTTTGTTTTATCCTTTCTAGTCCAAAGATTATTCTCCCCAGGAGAGTGAATAAAAGCAAAATTAAGAGTTGAATAGTTTTGTCTTTTCTGTTATCACCATCCCAAAGGAAGTCAGCAAGCATTTATTAAGTACTTCCTTTGTGCTCAGCATTGTGCTGAGGGCTATCCCAAGCAGGATTCCTGTTCCATCTTGGATCCACCTCTTTCCAGTAATATAGCAAAAAGAGAATAAAAACGAAAACCTTTTTTTAACCTTCAGAAGCTTCATTCTGAAGTTTAGCACTTCCAACATGCTTTAAGGATATCCATTATCTATTCTTGCTGCCATCTTTTGAAAGTGTTTAAATATTAATTTAAAAATATAAGTTGGATGATAGTTTCTTTGTGCAATGACATTGCCGTTTTCTTCCTCATGAAATTATTTTTCTTTGTGCCTTCATAATTTTACTTTTAAGAATTTGCCATTGTTCCTAAGCTTACCTCCCCTGTTCAGAGGATCTGAGCTTTACTTTCATTGAGTCCTTTAAAAATCTGCTCTCCCAGAGGGAGAAAAGTAGAAATCATTTTTAGAAATGGAAGATAACGGTGTCAGAAATTAAGTTGGTGCTTCCTAAATTGAGAAACATGCCAATTTTTTAGATTCTTGTGTATATATTGACTTATGTACTAGGAACAATAGAAATACATGGAGAATTATGGTCATATTTATTAGGTTTTCCCCAGCCCATTCCCAGACTTGTGGCATTGATAAGGAAGTAGTAGGCAGCCAGATAGTCAGCACTTTTCTTCAAAAGCAAACTACAGTAATGGATTGTGTTTTAGAAAAATACTAAACTAACATCACTCTTTACATATATTCTAGCTGAAGTATACAACCACCACCATCACCACCCCCATTTAAATGATGTAAGTGAAAAAATTCACAAAGTTCAACTCCAGTGCCCAGTTGTGATTGTGTGATGATGACTCAGGTACAGAGATGTCCTGTAAACAGTGGGAGCTTGGAGTTTGAAGGTCAGGAGGGAGTTCACTCTCATTCCTTAAATCCTTAAATTCAGTTAACATCTTTTCAATTCTATCTCTGTAAACATCTCTTTAATCCATTCCATTTTTTCTAGTCACACTACAGCCACCCTAGTCTAGGACCTCATGACCTCTCAAACAGAATGTGACACTAGTTTCCTAATTGGTCTCACTGCATCCTGTGTCTTCTCTATGCAATACATTTTCCACATCGCTGCCCACAGTTCAAGTCTAACCATGTTACTCTCCTGATCAAGAAATTCCAGTGGTTCCCTCTTCCCTTTGGGATTGAATATAAACATCATTTAAAGCCCTTGATATTCTGATTTTACTTTATCTTTCCAGGCTCTCATTACACATTAGCCCCATTTAACCACTTAGGCAGTTAGGAGTAGTGTGGGTAGACATATTCAAAGCCAGCCTCAAACTCTTACTTCTAGCTGTGTGGCTCTGGGCAAGTAGTCAATCTGTCTACCTTAGTTTCCTCAATTATACAATATAATAATTGCACCTACCTCACTGAGTTTTTATGAGAATCAAATGAGATAATATTTGTAAGGCATTTAGTATCACAGTTCCTGGAACATTGTAGGTGCTTAATAAATGCTTATTTATGCCTTCTCCTTCCCGTCCTCACTTGGCTCTCTAGCCAAACTGAGCTGTGGTGATTAGGTCATATGAGACATTCTGTCTTCTATCTCTGAGTCTTTTCACCGACAAGCCACCATGCCTAGATTGCTCTTCATCTTCCTTTCTACCTCTTAGAAATCCTGGCTTCTTCCAAGGCTCAGCTCAGTTACCACCATTTCAAGAAGCTTTTCCTTTTCCTTATTAGTGCCTTACTTCTATCTCCATGTATGTATTGTGTAAGTATTCTTAATTTACTTAGCTGTGACTATAATGTGTGTCTCACCCCACCCTAGTAGAGTATCAACTCTTTTGAGAGCAGGGAGCCCTGATCCCCATCTCAATGCCTTAATAAATATTTGATTGATTAGAGATTGAGATTTCAGAATCATCTGCATAGAGACAATAAACATTAAGGGCAAGATGTTTCTGATATAAAGACAAAAAAATCTCTGTCATCAAAAGACTTACCTTCTATTAGAGGTGAGGCTGTAATACTGTACATACACAAGTGAATGTGTTGAGGTTTAGGGGTTTAGGAGTGCCCAAAAGAAGTAGATCCAGGCCTTCTTTCAGCCAAAGACAAGGTTTATTAGAACATCTGTCATATTGTTTAGACTCTTAAGGAATCTGAACATTAGTGAACTATTGGCTAGATTATAAGAATCTGAGCATCTTAATGGAGACAAGATGGACCTTATATACAGAAAGACTATAGGAGGAATCTAGGAGTGGCCAAGTAGTCTATGAGGTAATAGAACTCCAGGGACCTGGACCACTGGGCAAGGGAGAATGGAGCTTAGATAGGATTAAGGATGGGAAGTGGCTTGGGGCCATGGGGAGGTAAGACAAGGGAGGGCTAGGCTAGGTTAAGGCTAACAATTGGGAGATTGGGTTTAACCACAATGAAAGGCCAGTTGATGGAATTATAGCCTGAGATTTGGCCATGTGGGAAAGTCTAGGGTTTTTCCTTTTTGGGATCTAGATTCCATCCTCATCAAATATATATACTTTAGTATATATTAGCAGCTATTTGTTGGCAGGATCAGGAAAGGCCTCTGTAGGAGGTGGCACCTGAGCTGTGATTATATGAGAGTGAGGTGAGTTTTACATACACCCTTACAGGCCTGGATGACTTGTGTCAGTGCACAGAGGGGAAAGATGGCATGTTTTGTATATAGGTATATATAGAATATTTTGTATATAGAACAGGTGTGTGTTTGTGGCGGGTAGGGTAGAGAACAATTTGAGCAGAATGGAAAGGGTATGAACGGGAGTAATATAAAATAAGATAGGAAAGGCAGGAGGGAACCAGCCTGTAAAAGATTCAGTGGCAGGCTGAGCATTTTATATTTTTACTTAAAGATTATGGGAAACCATTGAAGATTTTTGGGCAGGTGGAGTGGGGTCACGTGTGTGACGTGGTCATATGAGTTTTAGGAATATTATTTTGACAGAATGTATTATGGAGGGCTGAGATTGAAGGCAAGGAGGTCAATTAGGAAGCATCACCATAATCCGAGTTAGAGGTGATGAAAGTAAATGTGTTTAAATGAAGAGAAAGGAACAGATCTGAGAGATTTTGTGGAGCTACAATCCACAAGGCTTGCAAACTAATTAGATTTGAGGGTTAAGGAAGAAAAAAGAATAATCATTGGGGGACTCAGGTACTGAAAGGACAGGGATCCCATAAGCAGAAATGAGGAAGTTTGGAACTGTGGAAGAGAATGTGATTGCTAAGAAAGTGAATGAAAGAAAAGTGAGCTGTAGTAGGTTATAGTGCATAGCACTCATTTTGAAATCAGAGAATCTTTGTTCAAGTCCCCAGTCTGTTATTTAGTAGCTGTTTGAGTTGAGCCAAGTCACTTAACCTCTTTGAACCTTATTTTC